GCGTGGTGGCTCCTTGCTGCCATTTGTGGCGGGGGGAATTTGTGGTGGAGCAGGACAAGGTGCCTTGCAAAGGGAAAGACCGGGAATGGGGACACAGGGACGAGTGGAGCCCTGGGAAACTGCCGCAGTCCAGCCCCATCCTGCCCCATCCAGCCCATTGCAGCCCCATTCCGCCATGTCCAACCCCACCTGGCCCCGTCCGATCCCATCCATCCAACCCAGCTCCATCGGCCTCATCCAGCTTTATTCAGCCTCATCCATCCAACCCAGCTCCATCAGTCCTAACCTTCCTAACCTGTTTCATCCTGCCCCATCCAGCCCCACCCATCCAACCAAGCCCCATCCAGCCTCATCCATCCATCCATCCAAGCCCCATCCAGCTCCATCCATCCAACAAAGTCCCATCAGCCCTATCTTGCCCCATCTAGCCCATTCCAGCCTCCTTCAGACATTTGCAATCCCACCTGGTCCCATCCAGCCCCATCCATCCAATCCAGCTCCATCAGTACCAACGTGTTTCACCCTGCCCCATCCAGCTCTATCTAGCACCATGCATCTACCCATGTCCCATCCAGCCCCATCCATCCAACAAAGTCCCATCAGCCTCATCCTGCCCCATCCAGCCCCATCCTGCCCTGTCTCTGTCTCCTCGTCCTGTCTCCCAGCCCGGCTATGCCGGCACAGGGAGTCCTGGGCACCGTTATCCTCCCATCTCCAAATCCCTCCCGAGGCTGCAACCCCCAGGGTCACTTCACTGCCACCCCCAAGCACCCAGCACCCGGCTTGGAGCCCTGTGAGCTGCCCCTCTGGCATGAGATGAGCTGGGCAGGTCTCAACTCGGGGCAAAACCCGCGACCAGAGAGGCAGTGGATGCAAATGGCCCTGGGCAGGGGCCGATTAATGGGGCATAAACTGAGGAAACGGAGAGGAGCCTCGTGCTGGCGGGGGGATAGGGTAAGAGGAGCCTTGTGCCGGCGGGGGGATAGGGCGAGCTCTGTTCGAGCCTCGGCCCAAAGAGGCGGTGCTGGCACCCGGCACCCGCCAGTGGCCGGATAAAGAGGGATTCAGCGCACCCGAGGCAGCAGCTCTGGGTGCCTCCATGCGGAAAAACTGCAGCGGGAAGTTTTCCCTCCGCAGTCTTTAGGGCCGAGTGGATCTCGGCTCCAGGAGCCAGAGCGAGCATGGGATTCCCGCGGGATCCATTGAGCTCCTCTGGCAGAGCTTTGTGGGGCTTTGCCAGGGGGTTGCGGGGATTTTGCTGGGATTTTGTAGCCCATGCCAACGCCTTTGGTTTGGAAGCTGCACCAGGCAGGCAACGGTTGGAAATAAATTTTCAGGGCAACAAAAGCTGGTTTCTTACAGCACCAGGGAGGGGGGCAGCGGCGCTGGGAATGGAGGGGCCGCCTCCTCGCACTGCATTTGGGGGGAAAGGCAGCTGGGCTCAGCACTGCGTCCACCCGAACCAGGCCGGGCCGGATCCCCGGGAAGCAGCCCCATGCCGAAAGCCTCCTCCTCTGGAGCTCAGCTTGGAGGCGCTGGGATAAATCAGTGCTCCCCACTTTTCCAGGGAATAAATCCATGCTTTTTCTTCTTCCTCTCTCCTCTCCTCTCCTCTCCTCTCCTCTCCTCTCCTCTCCTCTCCTCTCCTCTCC